GCAGTTTCGACCTCGCATTGGTCTTATCAACACCCTTAGCGGGATTCGAACCGCGACAGTGCAGGACGGTCTCGAAACCCTACTCACATACGAATATAAGTAATCTTGCATTTTAATTAGCATCCTTATGCATGTATCGAGCCATCACAGTTAGAATGCATCCAATGTCATTATCACTGGGCTTTTGTCTATACCATCATGTCGTATCAATCTGCAGACTGGAGGCGAATATATTTTGTCTAGTCGCAGATTAGGATCAGATCTTTTAATATAGCAACACACTGATTCAATCTAACTAATTAAAATGTACAAAATATTCCTTCTATGAAGAAAAAAATACCAAAAACGAGTCACCCTCGTCGCTGAAGCGTGAGCCGAGGACGGATAGCAAGTAGTGTTGTGCAAAAGCATGTGAGTACACCTCACGACCTCATTTGAGCTCGTTGGCCTTGCCTTCCAACGGTTTTACTCATCGGAGCTGAACTACACCTTTTGCTACCATTTGGGCCTACCATTCTGCCCATACGGGAATCGAAAAAGGGGTTGTGCACATCATGACGATATTGCCATGACTGCCATTGGGTCTGCAGGGCAGGTGTGACTTTCCAGGTAAGCTGTGAGTGACAAGTTTCCTATAAATTACTCACAGATATTCCTTCAAAAGTAGGTTTCGAGACTATTAATAAATCTTAGATAAGATTTCTGGTCATCCTAGCTTTTATAAGGTAATAAAGGACCCACAATGCTATAAGTTGGTCTAATGTTTGCGTTGCCTTCCCAAAAAAGGATTCCCATCCAGAAATTAATTCGGTTTTTACCTCGCCTTGGTCACATCAGCATCATATGGGTTAGATTTCCGCCAGGGGTCTTTCATCACCTTGTGCGACCGAAACGGATTGAAACTCTTATAATTATGGATAGTTTCGTGAGATACTAGCAATGGAGTTACAAAATACACAATTTGTTCTTCTATAAACAGCTGTGATCGTGGCAAAGACGTGGTTAACCAGAAAGTTGCATCTGCTTTGAGTGCCGTGACACTCGAGGCAGTGTAGCAGATGGGAAAGGGGTCACCACGAGGAGTGTGACTCAGTTCCGAATCCCGTTGGGTGACTGAAGAGATCTAGATGAGCTCGAAACCCTGGGACAGACTGGATAGAGAGGGATTTTTGGAGGCAAATCTAACTGAAATTTAGTCAATTTCATGGTGGTAAAAACTCAATCATCAATTCTTAAATCATCTGAAACAATCTTGTGTGCCAACCCACAAACGATTGTGGTACCACAACATTTGTGGGTTGGCGCACAAGCAATTAGGGCATGGCAAGTCATATACTTGGTATTAGGAACAGAGACAGGATAGACGAGGCGGCGATTCGAACTAGTTGGCTGACAGTAGATTTCATAAGAGATGTGGTCCATTTAGCAAAGGCATGACCATGACACTTACTCTGAGGCTTGGCCTCTAATTAATCGTCCAAGTGCAAGGGATGGACGAATTATGCATCGAATAGCACAGATGGGGAGGGGGGCAGGGGTCGAGTGAAATACATGTACCAGGGAGATAGCAGACGGATTTGACGGGCAAGAGGGAGACTTTGATAGGACCCAAGGAGGGACTACGTAACAATATGACACTCTGGTCAAACTTCCCAGCACAAGGGTCAAGGGGGTGATAATGACAGTGTGAAGTGAGAATGGTTTTCATGAATGCCGCTCGGCATTAAGAATAGGCACGGTAAAAAAACTGTGACAGGGAAAGCATGATAGGAGGATATAGGAAATGTGAATAGGCGAGGGCAGAAGGGGAGATACCATAACTGGTTAGCACACGTTTGGTCAAAGGATGGGCTTCACTTGTATCTTTGACGAGATGTAATATAGTGCTACGAATGGTAAAACTCACTGACGATGCAGACTGCGATGCCGGCGAAACG